CCCCCCCCCCCCCCCCCCCAAGAAATAAATGCTTTTACAGAAAGTTTAGTGTTTGTGCTGTTGTCCACTGGTTCATAGATTAATGATGGAATTCAAAAGCTCAGATTCTTGAAGCCAGACAGATTAGTAAACTCTTACTTATCTAATTCTTTTAAGAAATCTATTAAGCACGGAATTAAGAGCTTAGAGATTTGTTAAATATTTTTCAAGTTAAATTAGGCACTTAAGTAGAAGTTTAGCAAAATAAACATTTAATTTAGATTATGGAGACTAGCTTTAGTTGAAGATTGATGGAGACGGAGACCACGCCATCAAAATATCCCATGGCAACTTTTTAACAATTGAGTCAACTTTTCTTTCTCCTTATCAATTCTTTGTTCTTTTTCTCATTGTGATACTCATGAGATGATATGCATGTTGTTTTTTTTTTTTTTTTAATTCTCTATAGAAAATTGATTTTCATATTTTAAAAGTAACGTAATTATGGACTACCATTGAAATAATGAAGTAACATTGTGGTAGGAATCACGACTCTCCACAATAGTATAATATTATTCACTTTGAGTATAAGCTTTCGTGACTTTACTTTAGACTCTCCCAAATGGCATCATACCAATGGAGATAGTATTCCTCACCTATACACCCATGATCTTCCACTAAATTAACCCACGTGGAACTCACTCCCAATAATCCTCAATACATTAATGATGTTCGTTTTGTTTTGATGTGGCTACAGATACATTGAGGAGGAAGATCTATTGAGATTCCTGAAGGTAGAAGAAGTGAACACCATTTTCCCCCTCTTTGAAGGCGCCATTGAAACAGGAAAAATCTCCAAATCCGCTTTCAGAAACTGGGTGGTTCGTATAATATCCTCAACACGCCTTAAATTCTATCAATCCCTTAATGCTTCTAAAATTTCAACATGTCATTATGCAGCTTCATGCCTACATCGAGCGGAAGGCATTGGCACATTCTTTGAACGACACCAAAACCGCTGTCCACCAGCTCCATAAGCTGGCCAGCGCCGTCGTGTCTGTGATTATCATAGTCATTTCTCTTCTGGTCCTCGGCGTCGCCACCATTAAGGTCCTCTTGGTTGTCACCTCTCAGCTTCTCCTCGTTGGATTCATGTTTCAAAACACTTGCAAAACCATATTCGAATCGATCATTTTCGTCTTCGTCATGCATCCTTTCGACGTCGGCGATCGGTGTGTCATCGACAGCGTCCATGTAAGTAACCATGGTTAAAAATATGAATATTTGAGCTTGACTGTGGTATGTTAGCTTAAGTTTTTAGAATGATAATGATTTGCCGTATCTCAAATTTGAAGTAAAAGAGGAGTGTTGATTCTGTTGAATATTATATGTATAGTAACCTATAGGATTTGGGTCATTTTTGGTTTTCAGATGTTTGTGGAAGAGATGAACATATTGTCGACGGTGTTCTTGAGATTCGACAATGAGAAGATTTACTATCCCAATTCTGTTCTGCTGACGAAGCCGATCAGCAATTTTAGAAGAAGTCCGGACATGTCGGATACGGTGAATTTCACCATTGACGCCTCCACTTCTTTTGACAATATCACAGCCCTCAAGAAGGCAATGCAAATGTAAGCATTTCTACTACCATCCTTCCTCATTGCTCATTCATTCTTCATCAAAATACACAAAATTTCATTAAAATCTCATTACTCTTTCAAGTTTTATAATGTCACCAATTTTAGTATAGGTTAATTGTTAAATCAACTACTTCCCTTTGAGGTTGGAGTTTCAAATCACCTTCATATTGGTTCTACTATCAAAAGTACTATAATTTTATTTCTCGGTTAAATTCTAAGTCTAGTCAGCCCAAAAATTTGAGATGTGTATCAATCTAGTATTTGAACTTTAAAAGTGTCTTATAAGTATTCGAACATTTAAATTTAGGTCTATTATGTTCGTAGAATGCTGAATTAGAAGTTTAGAGGCCTAGTAGACATTTTTAACGTTTAGAGATCTTTTACACGAAATTAAAAGTTAGAAATATGTTCGATACTTTTTTCGAATTTAGAGACCTTTCAAGCGCGTTCTTCAAAGATTAAACTTGTAGTTTGACTTATTTCTACTTATTTCTCTGTATTATTAAATCTCGCTAACGTTCTAAGTTTAAGCTTCTTCAAATTGTGCAGGAATATGTATGAAATTAGTTGGAGAACTAGAATTGTTACTTACCAACATGTTGATGACAAAGTTGTGTTTTTATTTTTATTTTTATTTTTTTTATTTGCAGATACATAGAGAGCAAACCAAAGCATTGGAGCCCAAAACACACATTGGTGGTGAAAGAGATTGAGAATATGGACAAGATGAAGATGAGTCTGTGTGTGCAGCACACCATGAACCATCAAAACTTCACTGAAAGGAACAGCAGAAGATCAGACCTCATTTTAGAACTCAAAAGGGTTTTTGAGAATCTGGGCATAAAATACCATCTCCTTCCTCAACAAGTTCTTCTCACTCACTTCAATTTACCTAATGCCCAAACGTTGCTCCCCTCCTCCTGAGATTACTTCTCTGCCAAATTTTTCATCCCCAGAAAAACCTATATATATAATGCATCCATCTAATGTAAGGTACGCGACTAGATTGTTCTTTTTCATAGATTGTTCTTTTTCCATGAGCTTGATTGATCGAAAAGAAGACCATATAATGAAATGGGAGGTGTTTAGAGGTTCCATATTAGGAAGCCAAATTAGATAATAAAAATCGAAAGAGAGGAGCAAAATTGGGGCACCAATGTATGGAATAAATAAATCGTGAGTCACGCCTTTTATTAAGTTTGCTATACATGATGAAGAAAAAAGAAAGAAAAGGACTACACGAACAGAACACTCCACAACATTGAGAAAAGCAGAAAGGAAGCATATGAAGAAGGAAGAACTGAAAAGGGTTTTCTGGGTGCTCTCAGCTGCTGAACCTATTCTATAAAAATAATCTCTGGAAAACATGTTTTACTTAATTACGTTAAAGATGATGATGATGGATAAACCAACCCTTCAATTATATGAAACTTCCCACCCAACCCTCAAAAGGAAAAACATATATAAATTTCTTTTTCCTGCAAATTAATTTAAGTACCCTAAAAAAAGCATTGGGGGGAAAAGATGAGATGAGATGAGATGATCACGATTCCAACTAACAAAATTACAGCAGCAGCAATTTGGATTGACTACTCCTAAATAAATTCCTCTAACACTTTCGATTTCATAGGGTCGGGAGGCCGAAATGTCTCCAACCGCAAATTCGAGTTCGTGCGCACGTCCGTTAGGAACCCTTCTCCTTTCTCTGACCTGATTGCTTTCAAGACGTTGCCAAGAACATCAGCTGCAAGCCCAGCTTCACGAAGGGCTCCAGGTTCCTCTCCACCTTGATAGATTAGATCTCCAACTTCTTTCAAGGTAACCATGCTTTCTGTGATGACTTTGGCAAGAATCCGACCCAAATATTCTGGAGCCCTTGGGGCATCGTTTACAGCATCTTCTAAAGTGGCAAGAACTGCTTCAAACCTGCCCAATGGAAGGAACAATTTCACAAATGGGTTCTCTCACAACAAATGCTTACTTAAATGCTTCTTTTTCTTTTATATCATTACCCTTTAACAAGATGAGCTTGGTTCAAGGTGCCATCATTAGCCCTGGAGAGGTTCACGACAAGTTTGCCCAAAAGATCCCTTTCCAAATCCGTCCTCTCGAACGCATCGGTTACCCAGAGACTAATCATGGTTGGATGGAAGTCTGGGGAATTCAAGTCTTTAATGCACAGAGCTACTTCCTTCTCATCTCTGGCACTGAAAAGCAGACAGATAAAAAGTTAAAGCAAAGCAAGTCATTATATCCCATTCCAATAATCCAAGCATGTCGAACTCATATGGTTTGAACTAGTCTAAAATGTAGCACGAAGTTTGAACTAGTCCAGTAAAATCAATCTAGAGCACTAGTAAAGGTAAGCCCATAAAAAGAGATTACAAAAAAAATTATCCCGCTCGAGCATGCAGACACGAGAAAAGTCATTAAGCACTAGAAAAGTTGTTCTAGGAAGAGAATGAGCTTCAACATTTTCACTTCAACCACAAAACACAAGTTCGAACTCGTGCAAATAAAATCCAGTGCACTACTAAAAATTCAGTCATGGACTCGTGTTCAACGATAAAGCGCTATGAAGTGTGAGCTTTAAAATTTTTTACGAGTATCTATCTCAAGAAACTCCAACCAACCCAAGTTTTTGAGTTCATTCTAAGATTCTCAACACCATTTGGAAGGAAGACAGAATATAACAAAGGGCTTTTAAACAGATGAACTCAGCATAAACCAGTCCATAATTTGATATCTCACCAAACAATAACTATCTGTACCCATGTTCTCAGGTTATATATGCTATTTGGGTCCCCAAAACCAAATAAACAATGACGTTCTCATATATATAAATAAAAACCCAATCGGGGAAAACCAGCTGTTTCGTGTTCCCCCAATCTCGAGAGTTTCATCTAGAAAACTACTGAATGTAAGATAAGCACTAATGCCCTTAGATAGGGACATAAAGAACCCTCAGATCTCTCTAAATAAGTGGAAAGGTCATTATCTCACAACATACCACGTTACAACCACATCATTCCCTTATGCATAGAAGCTTACTAAATGGATTAGGAGTATATAAACTAAAATAAAGTGATCATTATACACAATTAATGGCATTGTCAGATAAACAAAGTATATATGATTTTGAAAAAAAATTGTGACTTGAAAGGAAGTTTGGTCATAGAACTAACATTCGTAGCAAAAACCCAGTAAACATTAATACAATAGTACCATCTATACCCAGTAACCTATTATGCAAGCACAAATAATGTATACAAGAAACTGCATACCTGTAGAACTCCTTGATTGCCGTCAGTGATAATTCTCGCAACCGATCTTCAGACAATACCTTGTCAGATGGAAGACTTGAGGTCAAAGTTGGGGACGGTGTGGCAGGTGAAATCGGACGAGATCTATCAAAATGACCTGAATGTCTCAAATCCTTATTCCCATAATTTGAATAACGGTCTTGACCACTTGTATGGTCCAATAAAGTTGGACCAGAATATCTCTCTGGCATTTGTCTTGAAATTGGATCCTCTTTGGAAGTTAAGGTTGCACGCTCTGATACAGAGCTATATCCGTTCAAAAAAGCTGTTGGTGCGCCTCTCAATTCTCCTGGAAGAGGGGATATTTCGGCAGGAGCAGCAGAACTTGGTTGAGGTCCTCTAATGGACATTCCTCGAGCCAGACCACCCTGTGGTCCAAGAGTAATAGAATCATCTCCACCAGCTCTGTGAGGCAATGTAACAGACAGTGTCCTAGCTTCGTAAGACTGTCTTTCATCTTGACGAGCATCCTGACTAGCAGCATATCCACGAGCCTGATGTGGATATCCGCGAAAACCTCCCATGTGATTACCCGGGGATGACGCAGCTGATCCCCTAGGGCCATAATCCATAGGTGGGCCCCCTCTCCTTGCGGAAGGATTCATGCCTGGACCACGACCAAACCTACCAGTTTGAGCCTGCCGCTCTTGAGCAGCATCTCTGTGTACTTCCTCAATCTTTTTCGGGCCTTCAACTTTTCTCCTCTGCTGCCATTTGTTCTTCCTCAGATCAATTGCATCTTTAAGCATGAAGCGGACCCTGGATGATAATTTCATGTTGTTTGATAACATTGTCATGATCTCAAAATAAGAATCCATATAGCCTTTTGCTTTGGGATGATCTATCATCTCTCCAATTGTGCTCATCAATTTGCACAAAGCTTCAACATCTTCCTCATCTGGATTCTGATATTCCCCCAGTAACTTCTTGATGCATTCATGCATTATTCTTTCAGTCAACATTTTCTTCTTGTACAATTCGCCTATTAATCTAATGTTACCCAGCATTCTTCTCCTAGCCTTTATGCGTTTTTCTTCCCTTTCCTCTTCAGATTGCTTTACCTCACCTTCCTCTTCAACTTTGTTTGCTTCTTCCTGTTCTCTTTCACCTCTCTCAAATTCCTCCTGACACTTATTGAGTAACAATCTCTTAAAAGTCATCTTCTCGTTGTCTTCGCTTAAATCAGGCAGTTCTCCAGCAAGATGGAAACAGAAGTTGGCATACATTTCACAGAAAGTAGGCTCCATTAAAGCTTTGTCAAAAATCTGTGATATTACTCCAGTTAGAGTTCTGCCATTATCGACGTTTACTGCTTTTACTTGCTCAAAGAGCTTTTCAAAATTCTGGGGTGTTAACTTGTTTAGTATGGCCTTCAATTGCCTTTGCTTGGCTTCTTCTTCATCTGACACCTTACCCACCTCATACTTCTTCTTAGCTTTGTGCATAGTCTGCAATGGAGTTTGCGGCGAAGGAATTAAACCCTTCTGAAAATTGGGAGCTCGTTGCCACCTATCTGCATCAGAATTATTTCTTTGTAACCCTCCCTGTGGTCCCATAGACTGCAAAGGCCCAGCAAGTATCCCTCCAGCATACTGAACAGGAGCCTGTGCTCGGGGGTTCCTTAGAACACCAAAATTGGCTCCTTGACCAGGTCGAAAACCCGCATTAGCACCATAAGCTAGATCCAAACGAGGATCCTGTCCTGGAGCAAAAGGTCCAGGCAATTTGCTCCATCGGTCATCATCAACCAAATTACTGCCACGGCGATCCAAACGTGATCCTCCACTTGATGGTCTATCTACTCTTCCTGTATTTGGATATGAATCACGATCAGGATGATGAGATGCATTGGCATGAGTACTCATCAAGGACTCTATATCAGGTGTAACTTCAAAGTTATGTGGAAGGTCCAGAAACTGCTCGGCAAACTTGAGGAGAAAATCCCTAGAATACTTCTTGGCCATATCTCCCATTCTGTCATCACCGTCAAGCACTGATGTACCTACACCATCTCCATTTGCCGATTCCAGTTTGGGTGTAGCAATATCAGCAGCATCTTCCCAATCATCAGGCTCAGCTTTATTCAGTGCAACAGCATCTTCTTTAGTAGCCTCAACGGACTGCTCCGTGTCCACACTAGAAGATCTACTTTCTGTCCTCTCAATGCTCTCAGAATGTGCTACTGCCTCTTTCTTCTCTTCAGGTCGCTTATATGCATTGTAAAGGTCAGAAGTTGTTCCTGCAGCATCTGCCATTTGAAGAATTGCCTTTAGCTTCTTCCTCCCTTTTCCAGTATTACCCTTAACCCTGCTCATCTCTACAACGGATTTATCCTTGGTGCCATAAACACCATGTGAGCTGTTGCCACCGGTACCAACGGTATCCAACACCTCTCCATCATTTTTTCCATCTGTAAGTCCGAGGTTTAGAGCAGGTTTAGATGGCTGGTCAGATATGACACCTGTTTTCATTAAAACTTCATTGCTACTCCTATTGTCATCTCTACCAGAAGAATCAACAACTAACTTGTCACCTTGGGTATTTTCAGAAACAGTTGAACTAGAACTCACGGAAGCAGACACGTCAGCTCCTGCATGACAACTCACAGGTTCATCCATAGCCCTTTGGGCAGCTTCAGAGGTGGAAACCTCGTTGCTAGCAGTAGTTGAGCTCCCAACCAATTTCTCAGAAACCTCCACAGATTTAACATCAGGATCAGAGAGATTTTCAGAATTCTTGAAATCTACAGGAAGTTCAGAAGATGTTGCTTGTCCCCGTTCTTCTGTTTTCAGTATCACAGGTTCTGAATGCTTTTCTTTTGAGCACGCATCCTGCTTATCATCAGAAATGAGATCTGAGTTCTGGACATTCCCCAGACCAGAATTTCCAGAAGAATGAGCTGCAGAAGCCAAACCGACCTCCTTAGGTTCTGAAGAATCCAGAGTGACTGATACTGACTTGCCTTCTACAGCGACTGGAATGGTTGAAGATTTAGCTTCGACAGCTTCAGAAACTGTAGAAGGAGAAGTTGAGTCCTGCACTTGACCGGGCAGTCCCAAAGCTGATGAAGCTTGTCCACTAATCTGTAAATGGTGATGAAAACATACCAAGATAAAATAACAACCTAGAGTAAGAAAAGCCATGACTGTAAAGGTCACCAGACAAGTTAAGAATGGACAAAAGTACCTGATGCTGTGATTGGGTGTATCCTTTCTTGCTTGTTTTCTTCTGATGATCCTTGTGTGAGTCTGACCTTGATAAATTATCCCTTCTCCCCTCGTTATGTGTTCCAGCTAACTCAGACTCCTCAGAGGAGGCAATCAATGAAGATTGCACAGAACTGGAATCTTGGCCGTCGAGTAAAACCATTGGAGGTGCTTCAGTAGACTGCTTAGATACTGCAGATGAAGACTTCATCATCAGTTCTCTTCCAACTTTTGCATCGTGCATAGAACTCTCCAATGATGTATCTACTGCCCTTTGAGAAGAAGGCGGGATTAATTCTACGGACGGGCTCAAGGGTTTTTGTGATTTTCCTTCTTCAGTTGCAGGTAATCTATTTGGTAATGAGTCAGAACCCTTGCCACCTGTAGGATCAGCAGGCATTTTGATTGTAACGTGAACTGTTCCTGAGGGAGCAGGGGGCTGCAAACTATGAGTATCACGAATATGCTCTCTATTAGGTGGATCTGAAATTCCATGCATTGGGCCCCCACCAGGCTTCTTAACATGCAGATCAATGTACGGAACATTTTGAGAGCCCTGGCTGACTGGATAATTAAACATGTGAGGCTGAGAATTTGGTGCAGCTTGACCACTAGGCAATGGAAGGGAACTCGGGCTTGCAAAATATAAAGGATTGGGATTGTAAGAATTGGGATAGTAGTTCATTGCATGACTTGGTGCAAATGGAAGAGGCTGAGTTTGAGAGGGAAGATTATATTGTGGCCTAGGGCCTGAAGAACCAGTATCAGCATATGCATTTGTTTGCTTATTGTCAAATATTAGCTCTTCATGCGTCTTCGGATCAGTAATTCTAACAGCAGACTTACGAGGGCCACCAAATTTCCCTCCTTGCTGTTGAGGGTACTGCGAAGTTACATTCATGCCTAAGTTGCTTAATTGAGGAGGCAACTGAGAACCTATTTGAGGTGCAAAACCCAAGCCCTGTCCCTGATGAATAATACCCTGTGGCTGCATGGGATGGGGATGAAGACCAGGGACAAACATTGGCTGTTGCACTTGAGGAGAGCTTCCAATCTGCAATGGCACAGGAATGGACATGTGCAGTGAACTGGGGGTTAAGCCCTGTGATTGCATCTGTGGGTTGGGACCTCCAAACGGCCCAGGTACTTGTGGCGGGTGGAAAGGCATTGTCATAGGGATTCCAGACATAGGATTGGTGGGCTTCTGAGTTTGGATTGGCGGATGATTTGGTGGTGCTTGCACATCCTTTTTAGCCTTTTGAACTATGTGAGCATCCCCAGTATTAGGTTGGTTGAAGGTACCAGAATCCTTCTGTTGTATCGGCTGTCCGGCATTAGGTTGATCACCAGCTCCAGCATCCTTCCTTTGTGCATGTGGCTTAGGAGCTAACGGTATAGGCATTTGAGGAACTGGTCTAAAAGATTCATGGCGTGCCTGATGTACAGCAACAACATACAGCTTTAGAAAACTAAAACCTGGAGCTACTAGAAACTAAGCATGGCACATTGAATCAGAATTTCCAATCTATACAATTATACTATGCAGTCATCTCAAATCCAGGCAAGATAAATTCTAGACAGTTAAAGGCTTCTCAGATATATAAAAATACAACACTGAAACACGCAAAAAGAAGACAAGTGATTTTGCATGCTGCATCGACTTCGGTAAGAACTAGTTTTCAAAAAGTACTTTTGTAGTTCAAAAAAATCTACTAAATGACACTTAATTCGTTGGCCATTGACTAGAGGAACCGATAGTCCTAGAAACAATACAATCCAGAAGGAAGCAAGACAAACCTGGTCACGTTTCTGTTCATCTAAATTAGGAGGAGCTGAGCTAGTCCTAACTGGAAGCTACAAAACAACATAGGAATCTCCATTACAAAAAGATAAAAGAAATAAAGAACAGCATCAAGAAATTTCGAACGAAGGCACCTGCGTGCAATTAATAATTGACATTTAGTGTACTAGCTTGTGGAATAATACCTGCATACCATTCATGAATCCGGGACTTATCGACCCAAATTGGAAAGAAAATTCCTTAGGTTGATCTCCAGCACCTGAGACATTAAAGGATCACTAAGTAGCTTCAAGAGGGAAAATATTGATTCACATTGGTCAGAAAAACGAACACGGAAACTGCATACTACAACTACTTACCCTTCGCCGGGGTAGTGGGCGAAGCCCCATCAGAACTCAAGGGGGAAGATTGAGAAGTTGGAGCTTTAGGAACATCTCTGGTGCTTCTCTGGATATGTGGTGCTTCTGTATGCTTGGCAACTGCACCTGTAAACCTTAAATCAGATATTGCTGCAACAATCCACCAAAAAGAAAATCTCCAAACAGAACGAAAAAGAAAATTTCCCCTTTAAAAAAACTGGGTACTTACCAAAATTCCTCCGGTAAAAGAGAGGAAATAGAATCAAATAACAAGAGAATTAAATATTTAGTAACAATACCGCGCGATTGAATCAACACAGACTCACCATTTTGCACTCCTCGCGGGTTAGGAGCATTACTCGAATCCGTAGAATTTACAGGAAGAAGACCTCCTCTAGATTGCCCTCCTTGAGCATTATTAGTCTTCTTAAAACTAAAAACAGCCGCCAACAAAATTGTGAGAATCAAAGAAATCAAGATACAAAAATCATTACAAATCAACACAAACAACAACAAAAAGAGCAAAAGAATAAGAAAATTCAACAATTGAGGCAAAAAAACATCACAAAACCAAAACGAAACGAAACAAAACGAAACCCTAGATGATCATTACCTACGATTAGAAGCGATCGACGGGGTAGGGGCGGACCCACCGGCACCGCCGGGCTTAGAGTGATTGCCTGAAGAGCCTCGCGGTGGATTGAAATTACTGGATCGCCCGGATTTGCGATACTGGCTGTAGCTCTCGTTCTTATCGGGCCTTGATTGATTGAAGGACATATATTCCAACCCTTGATCTCTCCCAAAAAAAAAATTAAAAAAAAAAAAGAAAAAATCGATTCTTCCGATTACTCCCTGCAAAAACAAAGAAACCCCATCAAAAAACACCCCCCCAAAAGCAGAAACACCCCCAAAACAAAAAAAGAAAACACACATAAACACGGGAATGGGGAGAGTAAGAGAGTGAAGATGAGGACAGAAACCTGTGGGAGTGAAGAGTGAAGCGATAAATAGAAGGGTCGCAGCAGAGAAATTAGGGTTTTTAATGGGAAACCATGGGAGAAGAAGGAAGGGAATGGGAGAAGGGGGGGGGGGG